ACCCAAACTGACAGAGCAAGGAGAGCACTAGTCAAAGAAGCAGACAAGAGGTCCATGGTCACTCTGGAGGAGCTGCAGAAATCCACACCTCAGGTAGGAGAATCTGTCGACAGGACAACTATAAGTCATGCACTCCACAAATCTGGCCTTTATGGAAGACTGACAAGAAGAAAGCCACTGTTGAAAGAAAGATATAAGAAGTGCTGTTTGTTGCAGCTAACATGTGAAAGAAGGTGCTGTGATCAGATGAGACCAAAGTTTTTTGGCCTAAATACAAAGTGCTTTCTGTGGCTAAAAAGTAACACTGCTTGTCATCCTGAACACCCTATCCCTAAAGTGAAACATGGTGGTGGTAGCATCATGCTGTGGGGATACTTTTCCTTAGCAGGGACCGAGTTGGTCGGAGATGATAAAAAAACATGGATGAGGCTAAATACAGGGCAATCCTGGAAGAAAACCTGGTGAAGCCTGCAAAAGACTTGAGACTGGGAATGAGATTTAAGATAATGATTAGAAAACATACAGCCAGAGCTACAGTGGGAATGGTTAGATCAGAGAATATTCATGAGTTAGAATGACCTAGTCAAAGTGTTGACATGAATCCCATTATGCTTCTGTGGCAAGACATGAAAACTGCTGCTCACAGATGCTGTCACGTCCTTGCCCTATTTCCTGTCTGTTGTCATGTTTCTCTGTTTATTTACCTGTTCCTCGTGTCTGTGTCTCCCACGTGACCCGTGCTCCTCTGTGTTTCTTCCCCAGCTATTTTCCACTTACCTGTGTTCATTTGTAGCTCTGCCCCTTACTCCCAGGTGTTTCCTGTTTCCCGTGTGTGTCCACCACTATTTATAGTCCGTGTTTCCTTCTCTCGCGTCGATCCTTGTACATTTCCCGACTCCTGTGATGCACACGGCTGAGACGCCGCGCCCTGTGATGCACGCGGCTGGAAAGTCGCGCTCCGTGACTCTCGCGGCGGAAACGCCACGCTCCGTGAAGCCCGCGGCCGAGACGCCGCGCTCCCGCTAACCCCACAGACTTTTGCTGGTCCTGGGCACCCGCTTGTGTTTTTTGTGCCCCTGTCTCTCCCTGTCATGGTTCCCGTGTCTGTCCATGTTCCAGTTCCTGTCCCTGTTACTGTGTTTGTGTCAGTCCCAGTCAATGTTTTCATCACTGTTCCCTTGTCTAGTGTCCAGTCCCCTGTCCATCCCTGTGTCCAGTCTCCTGTTCAGCCCCGTGTCCAGTCCCAGTCTTCATTTGTGTCCACTGTCCAGCCTGCGTACCCTGTCCTGTCCCCATTCACGTCCACCGTCCAGTCCTCTGTCCAGCCTCCATTCGTGTCCAATATCCAGTCTCCGTGCCCTGTCCAGTCTCCGTCTCCTGTCTCAGTCTCCAGATGCTCAAAGATGGTAGAGATATATCACAAAACATTTGCAGCTGTAATTACAGTGAAACGTGGCTATACAGAGTATTAATATAGGTGGGATCATTGGCGTAGGAACCGGGGGGGGATGGGGGGGGACATGTCCCACCCAATATTAGAAACAGGTGGATTTGTCCCCCCCAAAAATGATATCGTTTCACTCAGATCAGCTGTACTTTTTATGAGGAGACAGACTGGACCAATCACGAAGCCGGTTCAGGTATTATGTCCCGCCTCTCAGTAGAAACAGCCAATCAGCAGAGATCGGGACACGTAGCCGCTTCAGCTGATCTTAAAACAGATCTGGATATACAGTGATTTTTCTAAAAGAAAGGTAACGGTAGACTAACCACTTCAACTGTGATGATATGTTTCTGATAGCTGGTAAAAAATACACGTCTCTGAATCAGCACACAGTTTAAACCCACTGTGATTAATAAATTGCAGCTGTGTTAGTGAGTTAGCTTAATTTTGGAATTAGCTAGATTGGGAGTCAAGGTTAAAGAAAAAAACAGCTATATATGTAATGTTCAACTTGACCTGTACCTGATCAGCTAATCACTATTTCACTATTAATTTAGGATTACAGGACTTACTCTAAGCTATAATGAACAAAAATACATTTAGCTAACTAGTTATCTAGAAGCCAGATGTAGTGGATAGCCAGAATTTAGTACAGTACTTTATGTTAGTAGTTTAAAGCAGTTTCTTAACCCTGGTCACTCCCTTAAATTGTGTGTTTCCAGCGGATTTAACTGATCAGCTAATAAACATTTCTTTATTGAGTTTACCTGTGCAAATCCCTTAGCTCCCTCTAGACCCTCTAGCTCTAGACCCTAAATTAATCATTATGTATATCCAGCAGTGTATACGACACATCATACCACCACTTACATTATTAAGTGCATTTAAGGCAGAGGAAGCTGTAGAATATGCAGAACAGTGTTAATATGCAGTAGAATATGTAAGAACAGGGTTGAGAAACACTGCTGTAAAGTGACGTCTGTTCATTTGTAGTTCACAGTAAGACCACATGTTCTGACGTTTATAAAAATCTCTATGAAATGTAAAGTTACATTCTTTTACATAAAAGGACACCATCTTAAGAAGAGCTCTTAGTAGAAAAAAATAAAAACGCAGGAGAAAATGTAAATATATGACAGAATTATAATGCCAATTAATAAAAATAAGAATAAGAATATTAATAAACAATAATAAACAAATCTATTATTATAAAAATTAGGTGATAACTGATCATTTTTGTCATATGTATATAATTCAGACATTGTATGCATATTTTTTTCTAACAACAGTAACTGTAACGTGGAGTAACATGTTTAGGTTGTAAAATCACCATATAATAATAATTTACTTTTAATTAGTCATTAATTAGTAATTTCCACAAATGTTGTTCTAGGAAACTATAGGGTGGGCTTGGGTTGATATCGGCAAATGTGTCCCCCCAATATCAAGCCCGCTCCTATGTCCTTGGGTGGGATGAATACTTTTGCACATCACACTTTTCAGATTTTTATTTAATTCATTTTTTTAAATGTATGTATCATTTTAGTTCCATTACACAATTATGTGCTATTTTGTGTTGGTCTATCACTTAACTTATCAATAAAATACATTTAAGTTTGTGGTTGTAAAGTAACCCAAATTTTAAAAAGTTCAAGGAGTATAAATACTTTTTTTACTTGTAAATTGTGCACTCCACTAATATGACCTTTATGGAAGAGTGGCAAGGAGAAAAACATTGTTAAAAGACAGACATAAAATGTGCCGTTTGCAGTTTTCCAAAATCCATGTAATGAACACAGCAAGAAGAGCTGGTATATTTATAAAAGTATTTATTTTTGTAAGCTTAACCTGATTTTGCTCAGGCATGATTCACTGCACATTATGTCAAACCCAATACACAGACAAGTCCTCTATTTTCAAAGCAGTTTTTTGGATGTTCATATTCTGTTCCAAGAAAACAATATAATGATAATAAGATTTATTATACATCGTACATACAACTTTATATTGCACTGGAAAAAGTTCATATATAAACAGTATATATAGAATATGCAAATAATGCTTTCAGAATGTAAGGCTTACCTCAAACACACACACACACACACACACACACACATATATATATATATCACTATACAACATATAAATCGACAGTATAATATACAATATAATGACTTGTGGGCAGTTAATTCATGGTCAGGAATTCAAGCATAGATGTGCACTGCTACTTTGTAAAACAGAAGAGTGTAGTATGCCATTAATGTGCTTCTTCTGCCACATTACATTACATTACAAACCAGAGCTTTTGTCAAGTAGCATGTAGGTGGTGTCATGTAGTGGTGTTACTTAGTTCTAATTTTTTGAGGTCAGTAGTTTTTAAACACCAGAGTAATTAATTAGGAAATTAGTTATTTATCAATTCTCCTCTATCAATTCTTTTGTTTCATGTCACTTTCAAGCTTTTAATATTTTTGTCATGACACATGCCCAGGTGCCTTTAAAAAGATTATTATATTAAATTAATGTATACATAAATTAATAGATACAATTAGCAGCTTTCACACACTAAAAGATGAGCCAGGTATGGGATTAATATTGGCCACATCCTACAACATAAAAGACTGACCACTTAAGGCATATACAAACCCACATCCACACACTTACACCCCCCCCCCCCCCCCCCCCAACACACACACACACACACAGCATTCTGGAAAATAACTGAATATTCCAGATTAGTTTTACTGAAATTGTGTTTAAGAAACTGAATTTAATAATAATCCTCAACAGACCCCATGATTGACACAGGACTGACATTTCAAACTGGGTTTTCATAAAATGGTATTTAAAACAGTAAACAGTGATCAGTATTAACCAATATGACCCCAGTCTCTTATAAAGGGATCTTTTTACCCACATTTATTGTTAACCTCTAATAACACATCTGTTTGTATCAAAGCTGCCTATTTTAGCTATATCAAAATGTACCTTGTCAATATTCTGATTGTGTGAAATGTTAAATATTGTTAAATTTAGAACAAACTTATGCAGAAGCAGCTACTTATTGGAAGTTTTTTCTCACGTGTGAATATCATCCAAAGTGTAGATCAGTTTGGCAATTACATATGTTACTCAAAGTTTTTGCAAAAGGTCGGACAACAATTTCTTGCTTTTAAATGTTAACATTCTGTGAGAATATTTCAATAGATGTACAACTTTTCCAGCATTTTATGATGCTTGTTGTACTTTATTTTAAATTTTAAACTTCGTGAAAATATTTGGTCCGAGCAACTGCATTAACATTCCTTTATTCATGGGCTAATTAAAAAGGCCTTCATGAGTGTTGGATGAAGAAAACAGTAATTATCTGCAGAGCTATGACAGAAGGCATCTAGCTTTAGATTTACATCTATAGGGAAAAATATAATTTGGATACGATGAGCCAACAAGCCAAAACATCAAGGATGAACAGTGTTAACACACAGTATATACCATCATTTTGTAGGTTGTCATTTGCACCCGAAAGATAATTACTGCTAGGTCATTACAGACAGTCTCACGCTGGATAGAAAGCACTGCTCAGATCTGAATAGATGTGATCATCAGGGTCATCAATGTCCCCAGCATCCGCGTCATGGTTCAGGGGCTCCACATCTTCATCCGAGGTAGAGGGGTGAGTCAGAATAATACGAGGTATCTGAACACAGGACAATAAACGCACAAGAGGGAAAAATCAGTGAAGGACTTTTGTGATCGCTTTAAAAAAATTCAAATACAACTGATACTTTAATTTTAGTGATAACATCAGCCAGTTGAAGCTTGGGTTTTAAATAGTTTGGATTAATTAGTACTAGACCTTCAGTGCTATGTTCCATCTGTACATTTTAAAGAAGACATGTTTTCACTATTAGAGACATAGCGCAGAAATGGTTGTCTTGTTTTACTGCCATAGTGTGTTTCCCGGCTTGAACAATGCCGCATTTGAGCATGGTCTCCCTTTCTTCCCCTGGTCTTATCTCCTGGACAAGGTCACTCTAATGACAGGATAATATGACAGTTATGAAAATATACACTGTATCAAACATATTCTCCTCAACAAGGTGTGATTGAAAGTCATACTGACTGTCATTTGCAACATCAACTTTAAATACCTGTTTGCTGTTTTGTAATTGCATTTTAGCAGCTGCTCTCTGAATCTGATGAATTTGTGTGGCAGAAACCTCCCATTAGGCAATCGCACCCATCTGTGCTCTGAATCAACCCGTCACAAAATGATGATCACGCATATATTTTTATGAAATATCCAGTGTTTTCCTACTTTGTTCATGCACACATTATTTGATGCTTTTGGCAGCAGAGAGATCGTTTTTCTTTCCCGTGTTGCTTAAAACTTGTGGCCTGCTTAATAATGTATATAATATATATATATATATTATAATAGTTACTGAATGATGACATCTGCCGTTTAAACCCGTTAAAATCTTTTATTTAGTTACAATAAATTATTGTACAGTATTTTCTTTATATTATATGCATTGTGTACGCTACACTCTCATATGTGTTACAAACTGTTCTTTGAGCAATGAAAGGAGAACTACTTTTGGCTCTATAATAAACAATATTTGTAATGGGTTTTAGGTAATAAGTGTGTGTAAATGTAAATTATTGTCTGTGGTATACTATGTTTTCTTTAAGATTTTGTGAAACAGTATAACAGAGAAATGTATGGCGTCACATCAATGTCAAAAGTTAGGGGCGCAAATATACCAGGTAAAAAAAAATTAACCAGCGTGATTTAACATTTGTGAAGCAAATGTGAAGCGCACAAGCAAGAAAAGAAAACGTGTGCGCGGAACAAAATATTGCTCTCGAGCTTCAATTTTTTCCTCTCGGGTGTTTTATTTTCCTCTCGAATTCACAGTTCTCCTCGCATGCCATGCAAATTACCTGCGGGTTTTGTTTTGGGTCGAGTGAAGCTTTTGTGCTCGAGTATTGAAAGGGGTGGTTTTGACAGTTTGGGGGCGGGGTCAAGCAGTGGTATCAACGCAGAGTACTGGTTGATATCTCCAGGGTTTGTGACAGACCACCTACCTCGAAGACCTGGAGGAGGGTGAGGAAATAAGGACATCAGGAGAATTAGCTAACTAGCTATGCTAACATCCAAATAACCCGCTCTCCGGTGCTGTTAGCCCAGGTATAGTGCCCGGAATGACCGTCTCTCATTCAGCGCCTGAAGTGACCGACCCTCCGGTGCTGTCTTCCTGGGTTTTGTGGTAGGTGGTCCGTCACAAACCCTGGAGATATCAGCCAATAGTACTTGCTGAGGGAGGCGATCCTGACCCCGCCCCCAAACTGTCAAAATCAGCCCTTTCAAAACTCAAGCCCAAAAGCTTCATTCGAGCAAAAACAAAAGCCACAGGTAATTTGCATGGCGTGCGAGAAGAATTGTGAATTTGAGAGGAAAATAAACACCCGAGAGGAGAAAAGTGAAGCTTGAGAGCGATATTCTGTTCAGCGTGAACACAATTCCCTTTTTTTGCTCACGAGCTTCACATTTGTGCTCAGAAGAAGTTAATTTACACACGCAAAATGTTAAAACACACTGGTTAATTTTTTTCACTTGGTATTTTTGTGCCCCCCGACTTTTGACATTGATAGGACGCCGTAGAAATGGTGAATATTTCTCGCAAAAAAGTTATTTTGGATCTTCTTTTATGTTTTTTTTCTCCTTCAGGATTTGCACTCACAAGCTCTTTGCCATTGCAGATCACAGCTTCGATCCTGGTTGCCAAAGGGCTGCGGTCCCTCATGAAGTCCTGGCAGGCGTCATTCCCCAGGCGGCTGATTATCAGGGACTCCTTGTCACTGACGTCAAGCTCCCTGAGTGCTCGACTTTCTGGTGGTGGTGCAGGTCTTTCCCGGAGGATCTTCATCTTAACACAGTTTCCAGCACTGCGTAGAGCACTAACCGCTTCATGGTGGCTGACCTCCAGCATGTCCTGACCATTGACCTAGAGACAAGCTGAAGTTAGACTTCTTAAATGGGGAAAGTACTAAAAAGTCTAGAATGAATTCAGTGAAAATTCCGCCACTAGGTAAGCTCAATTTTAACTCCCCAAGAAAGAAACAGCTTTTATTGATGTCTGAATTTCAAAAGCCTTTCTACTGGTCTTCCTGAGGCTGTAATTCCTGCTGCTGTTTTCTTTCATGTTGAGAAAAGCTTCAGTCGTGTGGCAACTTTTAAGTGGTCAAGCTCAGGCTAAAAAGAATGAGAGAAATCTATTGAGAGAGTCTATTGACGCTTTAATCTGGAGAATTCATCTCTCATACACTAGACTAAGAACAATATAAAGCAGTCAGTGATTTTCACTTCTCAATCACAGTAACAAAACTGCTGGAATTAGCCCTCCAAGACCATAATTAAAGAGGCTCTCTGTATGTTTCTCATTGTCTCCGTCTCTCTCTGCCTCTCTCTCTGTCTCTGTCTCTCTCTCTGTCTGATGAGTGACAGGAGGGAGGAGGCATTTTGCCAAACTTTACTTTTGCTTTATTAGCGTGCCGTAAGAACTATGGTTTATTTATTTATTTAACATCGTTTCGGGAGTGCACGTGGTGCAGCTTGGTTGCGGTCATGACAACCTTAACTAGCAAACTTTTTGAGACTCTTAACTCGCCACCACAGCGTTAAAGTGCCCGGTGAGTGATGAACAGTGCTGTATCGCTGTCGGGGACATTATTGGTCAACTGCAGCATTCTGTCTGTGTGACGTATGAATAAAGCAATTGTGACTGTTAACTAAAAAACTTGATTTGGTAAACTGTTTTCCCCCCCATCACGAAAATCCCACTGAGCTGTAAATCTGTTAAGACACTTTTTAAACTCATGGTGGACAAGTTCGATTATGATGTATTAATTTTATTAGACAATGATATGAAGTGCTTTGGATGCGGTCAGACTGGTTCGTGTTTGAGAGGAGGAATGAGGCTGGTGCAAGCGGGGAGTCTGAGAATTCAGGACTAACTGATAAGGTACAGGGCACTGAGACTGAGTCTGTCCAGGTAAGAGCATTGGTGCTGGAGGGGGCTGCTAAGATGGAGGTAGAGCTTGGTTTTAAAGCTTCTATGTAGAGGAAGACGGTGTTAGGCCGGTAAACAGGTCAAACAGACAGAGAGTGTTAATGATGATGATTCAACAGTGATTGTGGTCACTTTGTTTCAGTGTGGTCAGTTAGCTCACAGGAAGACCCTTTGCCAACTGTGTACACTAATGGGCATAAGGGGGTGCAGGTTACTGACTGTCACAGTTGGTACATAATGTTGGCCATCTTAAAAGAGCTGGGGCCTTCACTGAACTGGAACTGTACAGGTTACACAAATTTGTGACCAGACTCAGAAAGGAGAGCAGTTATGAATGTAATGATACTGAGGAGTCAGTGGGAGGCTTGTACACATGGACACATTTTAAGGATAATATGCTCTTACTCGCAGGCATGGACCGGTTATTATGTTGTTTTTTCTGATCATTGTATGGTTCAGTGTTTGATCAGAAAACCCTGTGTAAAGCCTCAGGGTGTATATTGGCATTTTTACACTGCTCTTTTAAATGATGCTAATTTTAGGGATTTTTAATCTTCTGGAATACTTTAAAAATCATCAAAAATCCTCTTTAAATTCTCAGCAACAGTAGTGGGACATAGCTGAAGTACAAGCTAACTTGTTTGTCAGCAGTACACACTCAATGTTACAAAGAACATATCTTAAAGCTCTGGGGGCAGCCAGTCAGTTTCTCCTCAAAATTTTACAACAGTGTGCAAGTGGAGGCACAGGGAGTGGAGGAAAGCTTTCCTAAACATTTAAAACAGTCCGCTGCAATGCTGGACAGGGCCTTGTCCCTGGACAAAGTGCACACAGCTCTCCAACATATGGAGAATGGGAGGGCACCAGGCATTGATGGTCTCCCAGTAGAGTTTTCCAAGTCTTTTTTGTCTGTACTGGGGCAGGATGTGCTGGATGTTATCAGAGGTAGCTTGGCAGAGGGAACGCTTCCTTAGACCTAACTGACCTGAGGAACTGACATCCAGTGTCACTGCTGTGCACAGACTGTAATTTTCTCTCCACAGCATTAGCTGCAAGGTTAGGAAAGGTGAAGGGGCAGATCAATCATCTGGATCAAACATACTGTATGCCGAGTAGATCAATATTTGATGATGTACAACTAACTCTGGCAGTTTTAGACATCGCTAGGCTATTGGGTTTGAGGACTGGTGTCTTATTTCTGGACCAGGAAAAGACTTTTGACCAGGTTAAACATGGGTACCCCTGGAGAGAAAAAAAACATTTGGGTTCAACCCTGGTTTCATAGCAATGACATTAAAAGTATGCCCCTGTAAAGGTGCATAGGGGCATCAGACAACAATGCATACTTTCGGGGGGGTCTGTATTGTATTACAACAGAGCCTCTTTTATGCAAACTAGGAGAAATAATTACTTGTTTGAAATTCATAACTGCAACATATCTATTTCTCTGTCAGCATATGCAGATGATATTGTAGCCATGGTCAGTTTACAGTCCAAGGTGAATGTTTGTTTTAACTGGGGAAAGAGTGAAGCTGTTTTAGTTCAGGTGTGAGAGAGACAAGAATCTAAACTTCCTAATGCCCTGCTTTGGAACAAAGGGAGTTTTAAATAACTAGGTATATACCTATGGGACATAGTTTTTAGGGAGAGAAACTGGGATGGTGTCCTTAAAAAAATAAGAGCAAGGCTAAGAAAGTGGTTCCCAGTGCTAGCCCTTAAAGCTCCATGTGAAGAGTACCTGTGAGTAGAGTACTACAGACAGTGTTGTGCCAGTTCACAGCTTTTCTGAACTAGTTCAAGTTCAGTTCATACATGCTCAAAGTGAACAGTTCACGTTCAAAGTTCACAATTTTAATTCTGAACTAGTTCAAAGTTCAGTTCATTTGACTTTTTTCATGAGATATTCAAATAAATACTTTTTTTCACACTACAAGTTAGAAATCACTATACGTTCTTTGAAACTGCTCATTGTAGCCATTTGCTCATGACACTGCAATTGTGGGTTTCTTACCAGATGATGAAACTTGCAGCAGTACAAATTGTTTTAAATGTTCACAAAGAGAATCAGTGTCTGTCTCCGTGCCATCACTTTCACTAGACATTTTTTTTTTAATTGCAGCGCTTTCTCTCTCTCGTCATTGGTCTGTCACTCTCTCTCTCTCTCTCTCTCTCTCTCTCCTCCAGCCTTCTGGGCTCTCGTCGTTGCCTGCTACGCGGTGTTGCTGCTGCAATTCATCACGGGTAACGTAGTGCGGAAGCCAGTATGTTATTAACTAGCCAGTATGTTAACTATTCTCAGCCAGACACTACATTGCCCGCAATGCATTGAGCACACAATGTCAAAACCATGTCTGTCTGGTGATACATGATTTAAGGGGCACCAGCGAGAATACAGGAGGGAGGAACTTTCTCTCGTTGCGTTTCAAAAGAGAAAACAGATGTCACTCAGTTTTCAATGGAAAACAAATTCCAACGTTCATTTACAGGGATGTCTGCCATTCGTGACACATAATGTGAACTAATTCACGTTCAAGTTCTTTATTTAAAAATTTTTGCATTTAGTTCAACGTTCACAAAAAAATGTACTCTTGTACTGGATTTAGGGGAGCCTCTAATTCACAGTGCCTATTTGGATGTTTCCACCCAGACTGCTCTTGACCTGTCAAAAGTCCTTTTCCTTTCACAAAGAGGTCACAAAGTTGCGGCAGCTGGTGGAACTAGCAGGACCAGATCTCACCAATGTGGGGAGTTTTGCAGCACAGCTGAGAATGAGATTCCTTCGTGCAGCATCTGACCTTCTAAACAGACGGAGAACAGCACTCTCAACTGAAGAGCATCAGCTTCTAAAGGGCCATGCTACAGAGGCCAAACCATTGGAGAGGGACTCCTTCCTGAAATCTATCATCTCTCCAAACCTGGGCGACTGTGGAGGGACACTCTTGAAGGGAAAGGGGGAAGAAATTATGGCTTTAGGGGAGGCCAGTGGGAATTGTTTATACAGATCCTGTGTGACGGAATTTAACAGAAAAAAGGCTAGATTCTAGAGCTGATACTCCATGGCATAGGGAACTGGGCTTAACAGAGACACAAAGCTAAAGCAAAGGCTAAAGCAAAATAAAGTTTGGCATGGTGTCCTTTCTTTAAACTCTTATTTCTGTTTTAAACCCTAAGGTCTTACACAATTGTCTCTTCTGTATGGCTTCCAGCTCAGACCATGAGGCTGTGCAGATCTTTACCAAGTAGGTTAGGGCAAGAGTGAAGGAGAATTTTAACTTCTATAAGAGCATGAGTGACCTGGACCCTTTAAGCTGGTGTGGTCTTTTGTGGACGTGGTTTGCTTGGTAGAGGAGGATGAGCTTTTTTTGCTTCAGTTTTTTTAACTTTGTCCTGTTTTTTTGTTTACCTTTGAACATCTCTTTTTGTTTTATTGAAACATTGGAACATATTTATGGTATTTGTAAGTGTACAGAAACAAACAGATGAGTTTATAATTTAAAAAAAAACGTCTCTCTCTCTATCTCTGTCTCTTTCTTTCTTTCTCTCTCTCTCTCTTTGTTGCATGCTAATTAGTTAATTAAGAAGAAATTATGAGCCAGGTTACACCGATTCCAATCGGCTGTAAGAATACAGCACTAAAACACGTAATGTCTTTTAGAAGGCATGTGTTTATTTTTCCCAACAGTTCAAACAAATTGCTGGAGGTCCTTTTCCATGTCATATAGCTTGTACTGTGGTATAAAAAAGGTGAGAATTTTTAGGATTTTCCTTTACAAATCATTGGTGGTTCGGATCAGCAATTTCAGTTAAATATATCATATAGTAGATGAACACAGTGATATTTGAGAAGTAATATGAAGTTTATAGGATTTACAGAAAGTGTGCAACAATTCTTTAAACAAAATTAGGCAGGTGCATAAATT